CAGAGAAATCTTCCACTTTACAGAACTACTCCCTTCTCCTTCCCCCTGCTTTCCCTCTCATAGCTGGTTAAATAAAGGGCCAGAAGATTTTCAAAGTGTGTTAAAAGCCAGTGTTCTAAATAAGCCACTTTTTCCCTTTAAAATGTTCATTTTTGATATTTATTTGGCATGCTGTAGTCCTTGGTAAAATTCTTTTGGAAAATTTCAGGAGATTTCAATCTACTAAAGGGAAAGAGAACCTATTGGCCTGTGTCTTCATAATAGTAGAATTCAAAGTAAGAGAAATGGTGGCTTGGAAAATCTAAGGGAATCGCTGGGGACATTTTCCTATAAACACTTTTAAAGTCAAGAATAACATGCTCACAGAAAATTTCACAAGACAAAAGTCTATCGTTTGAGAAATGTTTATGTAACCACCATCCAAATAGACCATGGCCCTCCTCCCAGTCGTGTCCATACCCTTCCAGCATTACAGATTAATTGTGCCTTGTTTTGAAGTATCGACTAAAAGTGGAATCACGCCAAATGTATATTGTGTGATGGCTTCCTTTGCTCAATGTTATCCTGGTGGGATTCACCACATTGTTAAGTACAGCAGCAATTCACTTTTATTGCTGTCAAAAGAATGCATTTTTTCCTTTCAAAGTGTTAATACTGGTTATCTCTAGGTGTTGGAAGTCCCTTTTATTGACACATAATAATTTTACCAATTTTGGGGGTACATGTGACTTTTTGGATACCTGCGTGCAATGTGTAATGATCAAATCAAGGCAATTGGGATATTCATCACTGCAAACACTTATCTTCTCTTTATATGGGGAACATTCGCAATGCATTTCTGACACGCCTCTGTGGCGATCCCGAGGCAGGCAGCCCAGGCCTCTCTGTGAGACAATACTGCCCTGGACCGAGGTGGCACAGCTCACACCTGCCCTGCCCTGTTCTTCAGGATCTTAGACTCACAACAGCAGAAAACATAAAAATAGCCTGTCAAGAACCAGAGCTAGGTTCTGAGTTTAGCAGAGGTCAGGAGAAATTTTGCAACCCCCTGGGTATACACTAAAGTAATGCTGCAGAGAAGCTGGAGGCTGGAAATTGCTTTTTTCCCCAGGGGGTCAGTGCACGCGTGTGTGTGTGTGTGTGTGTGTGTGTGTTTGAAAGTGAATGTGTATGTGTGTGAGTGTATGTGTATGTGTGTGTGTGACAGGCTGAATAAAATTCATATGTTGAAGTCCTAACTCCTAGTACTGGAGAGTGTGACTGTATTCACAGATAATGTCCTTCTAGTGGTAATTAAGTTAAAATGAGGTCATTTGGATAGGCCCTCATCCAATATGACTGGTATTCTTATAAGATGAACTGTGGACACAGACGCACACAAAGGGAAGACCGTGTGAGGACACAGGGAGGAGCTGGCCATCTACCAGACAAGCACAAAGGCCTCAGGGGAAGCCAGTCCTGTGACACCTTGACCTCAGACTTCCAGCCTCCAGAATCTGAGAGTCAATTCTCGTAGTCTAAGCCACACAGCCCGCTGGGCTTCATTATGGCAGCCCTAGCACACTAATACAGTGTGGGTGCATATATGTGTTTAATCTTTTCTTACCAGACCTAAAATGTGCTTTGCAGGTAGCAGGGGCTTGGCACACCTGCGGAACGGAAGTGCCGTGTGCAACTGGTAACTCAGGTGGGAGCAGGTGCACACGACAGACATTCCCAGGCCCTCTTTTCCCACCTTGGTTTGGAGGTCTCCCCCAACCTGCACCTCACCCCCTCCTCTCTTGGCTGACTGCCAGCTGCCTGGACCAAGCTGGCTGAGCTGTGCCAAATTGAGTGGCAGCTCTGAACAGACGCAGGCCTGGCAGGCTCCCTGGGGGCATCTGGAGGGGAAAGAGAACTGCTGTGAAATGGCAGGAAAAACACTTCTCCCTGGCAGTGCAGAGCAGATGGGGGTGGGGCAATTGCCAAACAGGCTTAAGGGAAACAAAAGATGCTTCATGCAATATGACTCAACTCAAAAAATGGAACCAAGACAAATTCATTTTCCTCCCATCAAAACTCTTTTGACAAGTTGAGTCAACTGATAGGAACTTTTCTCTTTTTTTTTTTTTTTCTTCGCCTATGCTGGCCTCAAACATTTGGCCTCAAGAGATCCTCCTACTGAAGCCTCCCATGTAGCTGGGGCTGCAGGTACAAGCCACCACACCTGGCTTCCACTAATAGAAACTTTATCCTAATTTCAGGTCCCTTTAAGAAAAGCCAGTGAGAAAGGTAAGCAGGAGACTCACATTAGATGTGGTTGACATCTTGGATCAGTAAGGAGAGAGTAGCCAGAAGCTAGGGGAAAAGCATATCCTTCCTCCTTTCGATGGCTAGTTCTAATATGTATTTTGACAAACAACCTGAGTCGTTTAAGTGAATTTGTGGCTCTATGGGAGGTTTTGTGTAAGAGTTCTGGCCCTCAGCTGACAGGTAGCCCTGAGGTCACTCTATCAGCCCGTTGTCTTAATAAGCAGCAGTGGCTTCTGTGTGAAGAAAAGCCCACCCTTGGCTTAGCCTCTTGGGTTCTACAAACACATAATCACTGCCTTTGTTTTCTACAAGAAGGCTGGCTTTAGGTTAGATCAAAATTCCTGGGAATTTAGGAATTTTTCCATCCAAGTTAATCCTTACAAAGTGTGTTACCGTCCTCTGTACTTCTACAACCTCAGGATAACCTATCCCTCTGAGACAGGAGTTGAGGTTCTGTCTGGCTTCACAAAGACACAGATCACAAAGACCCTGCTGATAAAACAGGATGTGGTAAAGAAGCTGCCAAAACCGAGGAATCCAAGATGGTGACAAAAGCAACCTCTGGTCATCCTCACTGTTCATTATGTGCTAATTATAATACATTAGCATAGTAAAACTCCCACCTGCTCAGCTCATGACAATTTGTAAATGCCATGGTAACATGGAAGATTACCCTATATGGTCTGAAAATGTGAGGACCCCTCAGTTCTGGGGAATTTCCCACTGCTTTCCTGGAAAACTCATGAATAATCTACCTCTTGTATAATATATGCTCAAGAAATAACTATAAAAATAGCCAACCAGCAGCCTGTGAGGCTGCTCTGCCTATGGGGTAGCCACTCTTTTATTCCTTTACTTTCTTAATAAACTTTTTTTTCCTTTACTCTGTTGGCTCACTCTTGAACTCCTTCCCATGTAAAGCCGAGAACCCAGATGGCCTCTCAGGCCGAACCCCAGTTTTGGGGTTTGCCCCATGACACCTCCACATCTAATGCCCAAGACAATTTTCGACATGTCTGTATGTGTTTCTTCTGTAAGAGTTCAAGAAATGGGAAGGCTTTCTAAAAGCAGTTACATATTTTGTATTGGTGCCCAGTCCAAAATGCTGACACCACCAAATGACGGTGAGGATTGAAACTGCCCTTGCAAAATTATGACAGTGAGAAAAATCTAACATAATAGACTCTATCTTGCTTCTAACCTTCAAATTATACTTAGTCATTCCTGAGTGTGGGTCAAAATAACCTTGGGAGAAATTCAGTTTATAGATTAAATGAAAATAGCCCTTCCCTAAAAAAAAGCACTGATGAAAGACCTCTAGATTAGAAAGATGAGAGGGACGTGAATTCTACTAAGATGTAGGCATAGTTTAAAAATTACCAGCTATTATTCCGGAGGTCACAAGATTTGTAGCTTCCCCAATTGCTCCTGTACATACATTGCTATTGTAGAACCTAAGACTGGCTTTTTGCGATGTCTTTGCAGACATTTGCGTTTCTGATGACTGAATGGCCCCACTGAGCCTAGTGACTCTTTTGTGGTCCTCACCCAAAAGCGGACTCAATACTTGAGGACCATTTTCCACACCCCTATGACTGCGTCCCCAACCAATCAGCAGCTCCCATACCCTAGTTCGCTGCCTGTCAAACTATCTTTGAAAAACCTTAGCCTCCAAATTTTTAAGAAGATTGATTTGAGTAATAACTCTGTCTCTTGTGTAGTGTGGCCAGCCCTGTATCAATTAAACTCTTTGCTGCAAAACCATGGTCTCAGTGAATTGATTTTGTCTGTGCAGAATTCAGGAAGACCTCGTTGGGTGATTATAGGATGTGGAGCAATAGGAATTCTAGAAAATTCAATATGTTCTTACCATAGGATCTAGCAGTTGGCTCCTTGGTGTTTACCTAAATGGGTGGAAAACTGTGTCCACACAAAAACCTGCACACAGATGTGTTGATGAAAAAAGTCAAACTCTGTAAAATATTTGAAAAAGGCTTATTCTGAGCCAAATATGAGGACCATGGCCCATAACAGCCTCAGGAGATCCTGAGAACATGTGCCCAAGACGGCTGAGTTACAGTTTGATTTTATACATTTTAGGGAGACAGAAGTTACAGACAAATACATAATATATTATGTACATGTAAGTTATATACTGGTTCAGTCAAGAAAAGTGGGACATCTCAAAGCAGGGGCTTCCAGACCATAGGGGGAATTTAAAGATTTCCTGATTGCTAATTAATTGAAAGAGTTAAGCTTTGTCTGAAGAGTTGAAGTAACTATAAAGAAATGCTTGAGTTACACTAAGAGGGGTTGTGGAAGCCAAGGTTCTCGTTATGTAGATGAGGTCTCCAGGTAGCAGGCTTCGGGTAGAATAAATGATAAACGTCTCATTGGATCTTAAAAGGTGTCAGACTCTTCAGAAAAACCTAGTAAGGGAAGGAGCTTCTCTACAGAATGCAAATTTCCCCCCCAAGAGATGGCTTTGCAGGGCCATCTCAAAATATGTCAAAGAAAATACATTTTTGGGATAAAATACTTTTATTGTCTTCAGAGCCTTCTATCTGCCTTGTGATATTATACCAGAGTCAGGTTGGAATTGGGTGTCTTATTGCTACAAAGGGTCTGTTTTGTCAGTTTTATTTCTATCTTAATGTTCTTTTGGATCCCTTGGCCAGGGGATAGTCCATTCAGTTGTATTGAAGAGCTTGAACTTTTATTTTTGGTTTACATATTTTATGACAGCTTTTTTCATAATTGCCCAAATTTCTTGGAAGCAACCAAAAAATCCTTAAATAGGTAAATTGATAAACAGTGGCCCATCCATATAGTGAAATATTATTCAGTACTAAAAAGAAATGAACTATCAAGATGAAAAAAGATATTCACAGAAAATCTGCACACAGGTTTTGGAGGAGGGGGAGGAGGGGTTATATGAGAAATCTCTGTCATTTCCTTTTTTTTTTTTTTTTTTTTTTTTTTTTGATTTTTTTTTTTTTTTTTTTTTTTTTTTTTTTTTTTTTTTTTTTTTGAGACAGAGTTTTGCTCTTGTTGCCTAGGCTGGGGTCAGCCTGATCAACATGGAGAAACCACAGCTCTCCTAAAAATGCAAAATTAGCTGGGTGTGGTGGTGCATGCCTGTAATCCCAGCTACTCAAGAAGCTGAGGCAGGAGAATTGCTTGAACCCAGAAGGTGGAGGTTGCACTGAGAAATCTCTGTCATTTCTACTCAATTTTGCTGTGAAACTAAAACTGCTCTATAAAATATATTTTAAAAATTAAAAATAAATTGAGGGAAAGTGGCAGAAGAAACCATGGGTATAGAAAAAATTATAGCCTAGTTATAGTGAGTCTGGAGATAAGCCAAGTATTCAAGAGCTGGAGCAGCAGAGAGACAGCAGGTGCCCCTGCCCAATGGTGAGGGCTGAGAGGGGCAGGCTGGTGGCCTGCCATTGGAGGGACAGGATCCCTGGCAGTAAAGTGATGTTAGAGTGACTTGTTTAGAGGATCACAAAAGGAGAACATGGGGATCTACCCCTAAGTGGATGTGGTACCTTGAAACTCCCTGGGGGTTTTGAGGAGGTAGATGTCCCTATATGAACAAGGGGGAGCTTGAGCTAGTCAAATACAGGTATTGGAGGAAATGCGACTTTATTCTAAAGTCAGAGATGGCTGGGGCTTGACATACCACAGATCCTTGTCATCGAAAGAGGGAAAAGAGACAGTGAAGGAAAGAGGAAGAGAATACAGGAAAATAAAAATGAATGCAATTACACCTTTAGAATTACAACGGGAAGCAGAGCAGAAGACAAGTAAGAAAAAGTGAGTGAAAAGGCAAGAGAATAACACCGGAAAAAAATTTCTTTTCTGAGACAGAGTCTCACTCTGTTGCTCAGGCCGGGGTGGAGTGGCACAGTGGCACTATCATGGCTCACTGCAGCCTTGACCTCCTGGGCTCAAGCTAGGACCACAGGTGTGCACCACACCCAGCTAATTTTAAAAATATTTTTGTAGAGACTAGGTCTCCCTTTGTTGTCGTGGCTGGTCTTGAACTTCTGGGCTCAAGCGATCCTCCTATCTTGGCTTCCCAAATTCCTGGGATTACAAGCATGAGGCACTGTGCCCAGCCCAGGGGAAATATTTTTTAAGTTGATAGTGCTAGTCTTAGAACTTTTGAAAATAATAGATTCTATTAGTATAGAGATTTAATTTTCAAAGCAGCCCTATGAAATAAGAAAGTTATTACTGCATTTCATCAAATATAAAATGCCAATAATTAAAAATGCACATTATTCTCTTGTGTCATAAGGACAGAAAAGTTTGCCAATTAAACTATGCCACTGTTCTGCTTATCTATTGCTGCAAAGCAAACTATGCCAAAATGTAGTGGTGTAATGCAATCACCATGTGATGGCACCTCCTGGTTCTGTGGGTGAACTAGACTCATCTGCATGGCTCTCACTTGGGTCTCTCCTCTGGTTACAGTCAGATGTTAGCTGGGGCTGTGAGCATCTGAAGGATTGATGGGCTGCACACTCCCCTCACATGCCTGGAACTGATGCAGGTTGTCCATGGGCAGCTCAGGTAGGAGCTGACCAGAGCAACTACAGATAGTCGCCATGGGTAGATTGGGCTTCCTCATAGCATGGTGGCTGTGTTCCCAGAGGAAGTGACCAAAGAGTGTTTATTTGGAAAGACCCCGAAAGAAGCTATACTTTTTTTTGCTTTTTGTTTTTTGGGTTTCTTTGATAAGGAATCTCGCCCTGTCCCCAGGTTGGAGTGCAGTGGTGTGATCTCAGCTCCCTGCAACCTCTGCCACCTGGGTTCAAGCAATCAAGCAATTCTCCTGCCTCTGCCTCCCAAGTAGCTGAGACTATAGGCACCTGTCACCATGCCCAGTTAATTTTTGTATTTTTAGTAGAGACAGGGTTTCACCATGTTGGCCAGGATGGGCTCCATCTCTTGACCTCGTTATCTACCTGCCTTGGCCTCCCAAAGTGCTGGGATTACAGGTACAGGTTTATTATAATGTAGCCTCAAATGTCCCAGAGCAATATTTTTGCTGCCTTCTATTGGTAAAGCTCAGACTCAAAGAGAGGAAAGTTAGATTCTACCTCTTGATATGAGAAGCAGTATGCACACTTAGGGAAGAAGGGCTTAGCCATCTCTGACTACCATAATTACTACCTTAAAAGACTGAGCCATAAAATACATCCATCTATCATACCACCTCTCATTGCTTCAAGACAGTTTTCATCTGTTCAGAGGAATTTGGTAATTTCTCCTAATTTCCACTGCATTTTTTGATATATGAAAGGCAATACTTTTGTATAAGTCTAAGTACCAAATATGAGACAGCTTTATTTGCTGTGTGTATCTTCATTTCTTAGGATCTGTAAAGTACCCTGCTGTTGCTTTGCAAGAAAATACAGAATTGTGAATAGTCCTCCACTGATGAATATTTGCTACACAGTATTAGTCAGTGTCCATTGAGGGAAGCAGAGCCATTAAGTACAGAAGGACACCTCACGTGATTCTGGGAGGAGCTCAGGAAGTAAGGGATCAGAAAAAGGAACTGAGGAATCAGAGGAAATTCACTAAGCAGCCCACCTGAAATGCTAGTGCAGGGGACAAGTTGGAGCTTTTAAGGTGATTATAGACAGGAGCTGGTAGAGAAGCCTGTGGAAGCTATCACCTCTGCATAGGTATTGCTTCCGCAGGCCTGCAGCTAAGTGACCGGTGGTGGACTGGGCTGTTGTCAGTCAGAAATGGGAACAGAAAGAAATTACAGATCCTTTGAATGAAGCAGCAGGCTGCTGTAAATTCCACAAGACAGGCAAAAAACTCTGAGTATCTAAAACGTGAGAACAGGAATACCTACCTCTGAACACACATTAGCAGTGGGGAACCTGAAAAATCCAGATTATAGGAGAAGAATTTAACCTTACATAGAACTGAAACAGATTTAGCATGAAATATAAAAGTAGAAGTAGCAGCAGGAAGAGCCCTGTAGGCACTCCCATTCTCCAGTTTGAGCCCAGGGAAGCCATCCCTGACAATCTCACAGGGGCCCTTAGGAAAGTCAGCTGGTAGAATTTGAGAGGGGCAATAGGGTGAAAAAAGTTTCCAACTGAACTTTGTAATAGTTTTGACTGGGCAAAAATTCTCTTGAGCAGAATCTGGGGGTAAATGGGAGCTGCTACAGAAAAGAGAGCAGGAGTTGTGCCAACAGTGTGGGCAGATGGGGAGGGGCATGGCCCGAAAGCCATGCTTGCTTCCTCAGTGGGGAAACTTAATAGTCTGGGGCTAAGTCTGAGTCCATTGCTCAGGTTGTCTGGGGATAAACTCAGTGTTGGGGCACAGTAGAAGCAAGACCGGCTACACCAACTGTGTGGAAGCTGGGTGAGGCCTATTGCTACTGGTTCCCCCCACTTTCCTGGTGGCAGAGGCAGCCATAATTCTCTCTGGAACATAACCCCATTGGCCTGAGAACCACCCTCCTAGCCCCCACATTGGCAGCAGCAAGCTCCATCTAAGGAGAGTCTGAGCTCAGACCTGTCTAACTCTGTCCCCACCTGATGGTATTTTTCTACCTGCCCCAGTCACCAATCACAAAAGACATAAATTCTTTGGAGCAGTATGACCCCACCTATCACCTGAGAAACCCAAGTACTTATCCTGGCCAACTTAGGGCAGACTTATAGCCCCTTTCTGCTATCACAATTGGTGCTCTCTTGAAAGTGCTACCTCCTGGCTGGAAGCCAACCAACTCAGGACATTACAGCAACTCATGGCAGAACAACCCTGCTCCAAGGAAGGAGAAAACATCAGCTAATTCCACTGCCTGTCACATCCTGGTTAACCAGAGGACCTGAGTCTGTAGACAACTTCACTGCTAGCATCACCAACATTCAAAAAGCCAGCACACTAAACATATCTATAATCAAGGACTCTCACAAGCTACTTCAATCCCCTGCCACCTCCACCAGAGTGGGTGCCAGTATCCACAGCCAGGAGATCTGAAGATGTATCGCATTACAGGACTTTTTGCAGACATTCCCCAGTACCAACCTAGAGCTTGGTAGCCCTGTTGGGTGGCTAGACCCAGAAGAGCAATTACAATTACTCCAGTCTGGCTTGCAGGAAGCCTTGTTTCTAGGGGAAGGGTCAGTGCACTGTATCAAGGGATCATGGGACAAAAAAAATCTGAATAGCAGGACTTGAGTTCCAGATCTTTCTGCTGAAATAATTTACACAAATAAGAAAGAATAAGAACATAATTCTGGTAATATGGCAAAACAAGGTGTTATAATACCCCAAAAGACCACACTAGCTCCCCAGCAATAAATCCAAATCAAGAAGAATCTCTAAATTGCTAGATAAAGAATTCAGAAAGTTGATTATTAAGCTACTCAAGGAGATACCAGAGAAAGGTGAAAACCAACTTAAAGATATTTTAAAAATACAAGATATGGATGAAAAATGCTCCAGAGAAATAGATATCATAAAGAAAAAACAATTACAACTTCAGGAAATGAAAGACTCACATAGAGAAACAAAATGTACTGGAAAGTGTCAGCAATAGAATTGAACAAGTAGAAGAAAGAACTTCAGACTTCAAAGATAAGGCTTTCAAATTAACTAAATCAGGCAAAAAAAAAAAAAAAAGAAAGAAAAAAGAATGAAAACAAATGAACAAATCCTCTATGAAATCTGGGATTATGTTAAATGGCCAAACCTAAGAATAATTAGTGTTCCTGAGGAAGAAGAGAAATCTGAAAGTTTGGAAAACATATTCAAGGATATAATCAAGGACAACATCCCTGACCTCACCAGAGATCTAGACATTCAAATAGAAGAAGCTTAAAGAACACTTATGAAATACATTGCAAAAATATCATCACCCAGGCACATAGTTATCAAGTTACCTAAAGTCAAGACAAAGGAAAGAATATCAAGAGTTGTAAAGCAAAAGCTTCAGGTAACCTATTAAGGAAAATCTAGCAGATTAACAGCAGATTTCTCAGCAGAAACCCTACAAGTTAGAAACAATGGGAGTCTTATCTTTAGCCTCCTCAAGCAAACTAATTGCCAGCCAAGAATTTTGTATCCAGTAAAACTAAGCTTCATAAATGAACAGGAGATGCAATCTTTTCAAACAAATCTGAGAGAATTCACCTATTCCAAGCCAGCACTACAAGAAATGCTAAAAGGAGTTCTAAATCTTAAAGCAAGATGTCAAAATACACCAAAATAGAACCTCCTTAAGGCATAAATCTCACAGGACCTATAAAACAATGACACAATGAAAAAAAACAACAACAAAGTATTGAGGCAACAACAGGCATGATGAATACAACACTACCTCACATCTCAATACTAATGTTGAATGTAAATGGCCTAAATGTTTCACTTAAAAGATACAGAATTCCAGAAGGAATAAAAGTCCTCCAACCAAGTGTCTGCTATCTTCAAAAGACTCACCTAACACATAAGGATTCACATAAACTTAAGGTCAAGAGGTGGACAAAGATATTCCATGCAAAAGGAAACCAAAAGTGAGCAGGAATAGCTATTCTCATAACAGAAAAACAGACTTTAAAGCAACAACAGTTTAAAAAGACAAAGAAGGACATTATACAATGATAAAAGGATTAGTCCAACAGGAAAATAACACAATCCTAAATGTTATGCACCTAACACTGGAGCTCTTAAATTTATAAAACAATTATTACGAGACATAAGAAATGAGATAGGTAGCAACATAATAATTTTGGGGGATTTCAATACTCCACTGACAGCACTAGGCAGGTCATCAAGACAGAAAGTCAACAAATAGTGGACTTAAACTATACCCTAGAACAAATGGACTTAACACATATTTACAGAACAGTCTACCAGCAACTGCAGAATATACATTCTTTTCATCAGCACATGAAAAATTATCCAAAATAGATCATGTGATAGGCCATAAAAAAGTCTCAATAAATTCACAAAAATTGAAATTATATCAAGTACCCTCTCAGACCACAGTGGAATAAAATTGGAAATTAACTGTGAAAAGAACCCTCAAAACTACACAAATACATGGAAATTAAATAATCTGCCCCTGAATGATCTTTGGGTCAACAATAAGATCAAGATGGAAATTAAAAAATTCTTTGAACTGAACAATAATAGTGACAAAACTTATCAAAACCTCTGGGACACAGCAAAAGTGGCACTAAAAGGAAAGTTTATGGCATTAAATGCCTACATCAATAAGTCTGAAAGAACACAAATAGACAATCTAAGCTCACATCTCAAGGAACTAGAGAAACAAAAACAAACCAAACCCAATCCCAGCAGAAGAAAAGAAATAATAAAGATCAGAGCAAAACTAAATGAAATTGAAACAAAACAAAATTATAAAAGATAAATGAAACAAAAAGCTGGTTCTTTGAAAAGATAAACAAAATTGATAGACCATTAGTGAGATTAGCCACAGAAAGAACAGAGAAGATCTGAATAAGCCCGTTTAGAAATGAAATGGGAAATATTACAACCAATACCACAGAAATACAAAAAATTATTCAAGGCTACTGTGAACACCTTTATGCACATTAATTAGAAAATCTAGAGGAGATGGATAAATCTTGGAAATATACAAACCACCTAGATTAAATCAGGAAGAAATAGAAACTTTGAACAGACTCATACAAATAGTGAAACTGAAACAGTAATAAAAAAATTGTCAACAAAAAAATCAGTCCAGGACCAGATGGATTAACAGCTGAACTCTATCAGGCATTCAAAGAAGAATTGGTACCAATCTCAATGAAACTATACTAAAAGATAGAGAAAGAGGGATTCTTCCCTAAATTATTCTATGAAATTAATATCACCCTAATACCAAAATCAGGAAAGGACATAACAAAAAAAGAAACTGATAGATCAATATCCCTGATGAACACAGATGTAAAAATCCTCAACAAAATACTAGCCAACCAAATCCAACAGCATACCAAAAAGATAATACTCTATGATCAAGTGGGTTTCACACCCGGCATACAGGGATGGTATAACATATACAAGTCAATAAATGTGATACATCACATAAACAGAATTAAAAAAAAAAAAAAAAAACTATGATCATCTCAATAGATGCAGAAAAAGCATTTGACAAAATCTAGCATGCCTTTATGACTAAAACCATTAGCAAAATAGGCATAGAAGGGACATAACTCAAGGTAATAAAAGCTATTTATGAAAAACACACAGCAAATATTACACTGAATGGCGAAAAGTTGAAAGCATTCCCCCTAGAATAAGAACAAGACTCTTTTACCATTTCTGTTCAACATAGTACTGGAAGCCCTAACCAGAGCAATCAGACAAGAGAAAGAAATAAAGGGTATCCAAATTGGTAAAGAGGAAGCCAAACTGTTGCTCTTTGCCAATGATATCATTATATACCTAGAAAACCCTAAAGACTCATCCAAAAAGCTCCTAGATCTGATAAATGAATTCAGTGAAGTTTCAGGATACAAAATCAATGTACACAAATCAGTGGCACTGCATTACACCAACAATGACCAAGCTGAGAATCAAATAAAAAACTCAACTCCTGGGGCCGGGCGCGGTGGCTCAAGCCTGTAATCCCAGCACTTTGGGAGGCC